TGTTTGCATATTTTTATTCTCTTTCTCAATGTATATTCAGTACTTCCGATTCTTGGATCTAACGCCAGTGAATTGTGACAGAAGAAATTTAGTCAATTCTTGTAAAGTGTAAGGTACTAGATACGTGCCTGAACAACCAAAGTGTTACTAACTTTTCCTGATAATCTAAATTTTTCTTTCACATAAACATGAATTACTGTGTGGCTCAGCATTAAAGGAGACAATTTAGTAAGAGTCAAGACAAAATAGGTGGTACTGTTCACTAAGGAAATTGCAAAAAATCTGAATATAAATGGTGGAAGCGGCTGTTTTTGAAATAAGTACAGTAGTTTCATGAAGAGTGTTGTCATTTCTAATGAAATGAGAAGCAGTAAAACACAGCACACAATACGTGGAAACTAAGCTTATTCCTCTTACGCAAGACAAGAAAAACTATATACTGTACATTTGTTGAATGCCCATAAAATTACCTGTTTTTACTCAAGCTACCATGACAAATGCATTCATATCCTGGGAAACCCCATGTGAATACATTCAGCATCATGTAAAAATAAGTATCTTACAAATATTCCTAGGTCTTTGGAATAACTGAATCTGGTACGAATTTGAATTAATATAGTATTAAAAAGAGAATAGCAAAGAAGCCATTGATGGGTGTCTCCGTACTGCTACAATGCATTCTGAAGTTTAATAAAGATAACACTACCTTCAGATTTATTCAGAACAGAAAGGTTCTGGGGGGGGAAAAACCTCAAATCAAATATAGGATTTTAAAATGTTGTGCTAAAGTGACATGAAAGATGCACCTGTAACGGTTTTATTGAGCTGTGCAGGCAATTATTATGCATCTGTTATTATGCACACACACAGCTGCTCCTTACTCCAGCAAAGGGTAATGTCAAAAAGGAGAGACTGATTGACAAATTGTTATTCCAGTTCAGTGGCGAAAAATTATTTGCTTAGCTTTATTTAGCTGAGACTCCTATTTAGTATCTTGAATAAATGGCGGAACTATGGAGGAGAATTAACCTCTCCATTATCTGTGGAGAAGGGTCTCTAGCCAGATTATGATCACTGCACGCTTAGTGAGTTTGGCAAGGGCTGAATACACAAAGTGACCAACTTCTGTGAATATACCTTTTGTGACTTTGCATGATTTTCAGGGAATCCCCAGCAGACATCAGAGCCAGATTCCACCAACCTTCTAAATAACATTTTCAAAAAGCTGGAAGGGCTGCTAGAGGGAGGATGAGGGAGAGAATTCCATTTCGGCCAACCGAGCTGCACACACCCAAATTTTGGATTGAACCACTCTGTGGCATTACATACACAGCATTGAGTACCTGCTTCAACAACTGAGACTTATGAACAAACTCATAGAATTTTCAAATAGCCCATTATTATAAGGCAAAGTTTAATGATGGTCCAGCACTGTGCTTTAAATAATTCAGGCAAAACACACTAAGGCTGTTAAGGCTGTATAGACAAAAAATATTCATAAAGAATAAACAGATAGTATTGGATAGTAAATCTCAAAATAAACACAGCAAATGTTTTGTAACTGGGTTTTTAGCTGACAATTTACGTCATGTTATTTATAAAGATACCAGTATCCAAGTTTAAAAACTTTTCACTTTTGTCCAGTTTATATACATTTTCTTATGATACTCATGAGTTTCTGGACATACCTGAGGATGAAAAAAAAGGGAATGGATCAGAAGATTGTTCCAAAGTCACAAGGAACAAGATGAACGTTCAACTAATCTTGATGCTATGTTTTACTTATGAATTAATCTTCTTTTAGAAAGCTGCTCTAGACGTTCTTCAGAAAGCCAGTCTAAGTACATTGTAACAGCCTTGTGGCTGGATCAGGCCAATGACCTAATTGGTCCAGCATTCTGTTCCCACAGCAGCCAAACAGATGCTAAGAGGAAGCCCACAGGCAGGACATGAGTTTATCAAATTATCTTTTAAACTAATCCAAATCGCTGGCCATCACTGGTACCTTCTGTGCAGAGGAGGCCTTCTTTTTGTCTAAGGCGAACCTCTCATTATTCACCCTTCACTGGATGAGCCTGGGCGCACATATTATGAGACAGAGAAAAACTAAGCACTATCTGTTTTCTGCACATCAAACATAATATTGTGTCCCTCTATTATATCCTTCTTAATCACCTTTTCTCCAGACAAAAAGCTCTGTCAACTGGACCCATTCCCCAAAGAGCAGTTAAACCTTGATCATCTTAGTTGCTCCTTGCACCCTTTCCAGTTCAACAATATACCTTTCTAACATGCAGCAAGCAGAAATGGAAACTGCATTTCAAGTGTGGTTGCACTGCACATTAGTACAAAGGCAATATGATACTTGGAGCTTTTTCTCAATTATATACAGTAAATTGATAAATAAACAGAACAGCCATTTTAGTAGCACACTTTAAAGGAGGGTGTGTGTTGTTTAGTGTACTACTAAAGCTTATTCTGCTTTTGATGAGAGAGTCAAAAATAATATGGGAGTGGGATGAGGAAGCATTTCTCAAAATCCCAGATTTCTCACTTCTATTCCCTGTCATTGCTTACTCAATTACTGGTACATTTCTGCCCTTTATAAGCTAATTAGTGGAATGATTTTACATGGATCAGTCACACAGGCAGTTCATGACAGAAGGGGTTATGTTTAGCTACCTAGTCACATCACTGGGGACAAATGAAATACATTCATTGTAAAAATGGAAAAGGAGATGCTGCGTTTTGAAACCATCATCTAAAAATTTACAGAAATTGGGAGATGTGGTTCTTTTAAATGCTGTTGAAAACAGTGGTGAAAATTATTACATAGTTTAACCAAGCCTTTGTAGTAAACCCATCTTTCCCAGAATGATACCTTTATCCCCCCCCCCAGGTAATTTGAGACTATCAGTGAGAAGACCACAGAAGGACAGGGTTGGGCAGAAATATTTTGACAATGGAAGGCAATTAGCCATCAGACCCAGGGATACCAAAGTAAAGGGACTGCTCTGCTATTTGGGTTTTTAAAAACCATTTAAAACATTGTAGAATTTAAGGGGGATATTAGTACTTTGAGACACATTTGTAATGCTCTGGTTAACTAGAAAATTACAGAACCTGAAGAGCTCTGATAAAAAGTATCAAGGGGATTAAGAAGAACCCATCTCACCCTCTGTGTCACTAGTCTCTCTTCCCCTCCCCTCTTCATGGGATGCCATTAGAATATGAATTAAGGTCTCTCAAGCCTTTGAAAAATGAGGACATCTGAATTTTTAATTTTGTTAACTAATCATTAGCGAACTGGAAATTGCTTTGCTTCCAACTGTGAGATAGGTGGCTGCTTCCATAAAACATATTTTTAAATGTTGTACAAGCTGGCCTGTTTCCCGGGACTGCACTGATTTGTGGGGTCCACTAACTTATAGCACCTAAAGCATAATTAAATATTAAGTTCTCCTTTGATGTATGCAAAGCCCGACTAAGAGGATTACTTAGGCACACCAAGGGTGGCTTTCACACACATCCTAGCAATTGAACATTACAGTATCATTAAAGTCATCTTTACGCAATAAGAATTTGCATCCATCATTGCCATTATCTGGAATTCTGGACAGGGAATGACGTTGGGAAGTAACACCATATTTTAAAAAAACGATGTCAAAATGGAGCACAGAGAAATAAATTGACGTTTTAAAAATGCTTAACAGAAACAATGAAACCATTATTTTAAAATATCTTCTCCTGTTCCAGTTATAGGAAACTTGGACAGTCAAAATAAGAAGCTTTTAATTATTATGAAGTTGGAATATTTTACTAAAAACATTTAAGGGAGAAAATTGACTTTAAGCTCAGATCTCAAAAGATTCAGGTTACAGAAAGCTAGTTTTTATTACATTCTAGTATATTTTTCATATCAGGGCTCATAGATAAGAGCACATTTGTATCTGCACCAGTCATCTCTGGAGTTGATTATAAGGGTTAAATATTTTCAATTGTTCTATATCAAATAAGTTTGGCATTCTAGCTTTTCTTACTGGAATAATGTTCTCTGTGAAATCTTCAGGAAATGAAACCTCAACTTCATCAGAACCATAAGAGATAAAAATTGCTTGAAGACTTCAGAAATTCTGTCTACAATATTATGAATGGCAAGCTCTGTAAAACAATACTTATATATTTTTACGCCTAAACTTGAAGGACGTCAGAGAAAGACCTGCAAAGGACCTGTATCAAGATCAAAAGAGAATCCAGTGGGGAGGGTGGAGAAAGAGAACGTGCCAATTGGACAATAAGGTATTGTCAGAAAAGAGAAGAGGTGCTCTAAGACTCCATTTAAGGCGGAACACTTTCAGACCTCTGTTCCTGTCCCATAGCTGTAAGTGACCATGGCTGTAGCTTTTAGTTTCTCTTAAAACTCATTTAAACTCTTCCTGACTTCTGGTCAAACTCAAGCAAGCACCAACAATTTATTTACTGTATTTATTTAAAATATTTTTTACCCCACCTTTCTCTTTAAAAAGGACCCAAGGCGACTCACATCGTTCAAAGATAATGTTTAAAGCTTAAAACAGATAGTATACAAATACTAGAAAGGATTACATACCACACTATAACACGGTAAATAAAAACAACACCAAATCTATTCAGATTTACAGGTCTTTCCATGCTCAGGTTCACATTTCTGTCATTTTTACTTTTCATCTTTATTTTTTTTAATTGAAATTGACAAGAAGGGAGGTCATGAATTCATTAGAAAATGAAAAACTGTGGCACAGACTGATCCATCCTAGAAGAAAAACAATCGGTTCAACAACACAGTATAAAATGTATTTGGTAACAAACCCATAAGAAGAATATTTGCATCTTCAACATTCATTGAAGGTATGAGCAGGCGGCACCAATCTCTAAGGACAGGTTTCCCATCCTTCATTTAAAGGACATTTAAAGAGAGCACCATGGCGAGCAGTAGCAGACAAATGACAAGGGATACCTACCTGAGTCTCGGGCCAACAGGCTTTGAGAACTGCTTGTGTTCTGAAGAGCACCAGCAGCTTGCTGTCCTCATCACTGAGGTGAAAGGCTTGCTCCAAAATCTGCAATACTTTAATGCGAGGCTTCACTGGCAAAGAATCATTGCCACAGAAAGGTCTCAGCCAAGCCAGGAGATCATCCGAAGACACTAGATTTTCCCTGCAGTTAAAACCATGTTTGTTAGAATTGTTCATTAGTGGAAGAAAAGCCGGGTACAAACAAAATGGACAAAGGGAAGAAAGAAAGAATGCAGTCCTAACCTGTCATTCATGCTCAGGGACTTCACCATAAAAATATTTCTTTCTTTATTCGATATCAGAATGTTGCACAATTTAAAATAATTGTGTATATGAAATATATAGTTCAAACAAATGCAAAATCATAAAATGATTGTCTAACGTTTAAAGCACCCTGTAATATTTAAAGCACCCTATAACCTCAAAACGTTTTACAGTTGTAAGAATTGAACTTTTTAATGGTCATGTTTCCAAAGCTCAGTGGCACATCTATATAGCCAGAATATTTCTGATTAAAAATAAAGACTTGCATACTCTATTATGATGACAAAATGCACTCATTTGGAGACATTTTTTAAAGGACAGACTTAAGAATAGTTATTTGCTGTGTGATTAATATTTTAGTTAATTTTCTTAGAAACAGATTGGTCTTACAGAAAATGTTTCTGACACTCTGAACATCAAAAGAATCACAGCTATTTAGAAGTACTAACAAATGCCTAAGAAATTTCTACAGGAATCCTGTATTTAACCTGTGAGTGTCACCTTCTAGATGCTTTTTATATTTAGATGACCCCACTTAAAAAGTATCCCTTGGTATACAACTAAATTTACATACACGTCTTCGTGATGTAGTATATAGCATTTATTATTAATTTTTTAAAGAAAGCAGATGCTGAGAGAATGTGGATAAAAGTTTTAAAGGTCCATGAAGCTCACCCTTAACACAAAATTCTCCACAAATATCTGATCCCCCAAAAAACCTCACAAAGCAACAAGTGTCCTACCAGGATACCCAAAATACTACTCTAGATCCTACCTTAATTATCTTCTATATATTAGTACCTCATGCATGAATCTCACAGACTTTATTTGGGCAAGTCACATGAAAATAAGTAGAATTCATGAGCATCAAGTAATTTGCTTCTTTTTTTGGTACAGTACTCAAGTTTGGTCGTAACGAAGGGCTCCTCTACAAGGAGATTTCAACATATTTATAGAATTCTATCAATTGTCTAAAAATAAAATGGGCATTTCAGTCATTTTAAGGAATCCCTTGTGTCGAAACAACACTCAAGAGATCAAACACACAAAGTATTTGCTTCAAAACACTCTGACCAGGAAGCAAAGATGCTGATAATTCCACTTTTCTTCTTCAAAGCTTTTATATACTGTATATGTTAACACTTTAGTGATCAATAGACCAAAAACAAAAAGGAAAGCAAATCTCTAGAAAGAAAGCAGATCAGTGACAGAACGTTCCCTTTCCCAGAAACTAACCTATGACTCAAAAGCAAAATATTTATGGAGAAAAACTTTCTTTTAGAGTTTTTTCAGCATCTTCTATGTTTCATCAGCGCCAAAGACACTTGCATAAAAGCTTTTCTGCTTTTACGTTAGCATTAGATGCTCTTGCACAAACTCCCCTGTGGTAGTAAATGATTTTTACTTTTTTCTTGTTTGTGTGAGACTAGATGACTGATGCAAATGGATTTTCTGATACAGATCTGTACTTCCATGCAACAGGTAAAAGCTAAGAAAAACTGCTGTACCTCTGCAACTAAATGAGCATTTTTGCTTAATTTTGGATTTTTTTGGTATTATATCCCTTGTTTTGGTGTGGTGATAAATACTGATAGGGCGGCCAGATGTGGGTTTGTGGCTATGGGATTTTTATATTAGCCTATGACATTGGCAGGTGTTTAGAATCCCTTTTCTAATTAAACCCAACATAACAACTGGCTTTTAGCAACAGTCACACACTGGGCGGGCTGACATTTTCACCAAGCTTTCTAGAACCACCTACTAGATTTCATTAGTATACGTACATTAATATGCAGGTAAAATTCAATCCCCCCCCCATTATGAAGCACTTTGTTTACACTGAATTTTGCCATTTCAATGATTGTACTCCCTGTTCAGAGAGACAAATTTGGAACTTTTCACAATTGTTCTTCCTAAACCCTTAGCGTTGTGAGCAAATATGGCCACTTATTACCATTTCTGAACTCCAGGTTTTGCTTGAGCAGATTATACCTTGGTGGACATGCATGTTATGCATTTTTCCATGTTCTGAATTCCTGTGCATATTAGTTCTGAATTCCTGTGCATATTAGCATATACCAGTGAACTCTTATGTGTCAGGGGCCTGTTTTTAATAGGAAACCTAAGGTGGCTTTTCACATGTTGTTGGCTAACATGGCCCAGCATTCCTCTACTGTGGGCAAAGGCTGAGAAGAGAGTTACAGTCCAACAATACTTAAAGGGCTGCACTTTAATCACCTGAGTATTATTTAACAGTGTTCTATGTCACTTGCTATATTCATTTTATGCATCGTGCAGCTATATGCATGAGGATGACACTCTGCCTAACAATACCAAATAGGCTAAGAAAGGTTTATTAATTTTTTTAGCCCACTGAAGAAGTAGGCAACCACAGGTTGGTCAAATTCATAATGACCCACCTGCCAATCTAGAGCCTTCCCTCTACTATAAAAACACTTTCAGAGACCCTACCATTTCCCAAAGATTGTTAGTCCCTGCAGGAGAGTAGCTAATGTTGAAGGTCTACTGGTTAAGCAGCAGAATGCACCTGAAAGGGGGGAGTATGGGTTCCACTCTTGCCCTTCAAACCAGTTCTGGAAGAAACCCAAGCTTCAGCTAGGCTTGGGTGGATGGAGAACTGCTGAAGGGTAGGAAGGGAAAGGAGGTGCTGTCGCGCTGGCACTGCAGAACCAATGTGATTTTCAACTGGGTCCTAGGGAAGGAATTTGTCTTCATGAAGTTGCAAACAACATAAGCTGCAACTCAAACAACCCATTTTCCTTTCTCTGCCATAAAGTTTATGTTGAATGATGTGCAAGTCTATTGTTTGATGAAACATATATTAGAACACTCAAATGCAATGGTATGTAGTTTGCCGTACTGAGATTATTCCATGGTTTTCGGCACACACATCTTTGCCCTTTTTACTAGCTCCAAATGACTATATATAAATGCCTAAATAATGTTTGGGTATTCATTGGCAATATTTCAAACTGACACTGAGTTCTTCCTAAGAAAAGAAGCTCCAGATAGAATGTGATTTATATTATAACTAATGTTGCTATATTCATCCTAACAAGAAAGACGAGAAAGTAATATCAGTCAAAAAAACACCAATTCCACCTGTCTGGAAGTGCTGAAATAATACAAAATGACAGTTTTAAGTTATCGTTTTTTTTTCAAAAACTTCAGAATTTATTTAACTTCTCCTATTCTCTTTATATTCCACCTCTCAGAGAACCGATGGTTAAATTAGAAATGAGGCTTCAGAGTGAGTGGCATTTGAAATGTAAATTAAAGGTTGATAAATTAAAAAGTGAACTGTGGAGACTGTGACTTCAAAAGTTAGGCCAGCCCATTTTTCAGACAACAGCAACTTCCTGAAGGAGACAAATTATACTTAGTCATGCTTAGTTCTTACAAGAACTGAACGATGCAGAGATAAATAACACTTCAGGAAATGTAACTTCTGGCCCTTATCTACAGTAATAGTAATATCCCCCCCCCCAAAAAAATAACCCCAGCTGGATATGTGACTGGGTGAACCCAGTTGGCATAACGCTGAACCTATGTTCTTATCTTTCACACCTATCCCAATGCCTGTTAGTTTCAAAGAGGAGTGGCGAGAGGGAGAGCAATAATGTTAAACTTTATGAAACTGACCAAATAATTGGAAACTGCAGACACTTCATGGAAGAAATGCACCTGCACTCCAGGGCTTCTTCCACAGTAACATCTTGAGCAGGTGCCTATTTTGCAAAAAGTTTTCAACCATAACCGGGAGGGCAGCAAAATTCCCCAGAGCTCTTACCCGTTCTCAGCACTGGTGTGGACAGCAGAGACAATGCCTTCTAATATCTGGAAAGGGTCCGTTTTGAAAGCGTGCGAGCCACCATCTCCACTTTCAAGGGAACAGAAGAAAGACAAGCTTGTAACTTTAGAATAAATGTTTCAGAATCCTTAAGGTTTCACAGGGTGTGCAATTCTCTGCTATTTATCAAGACATAAAGAGTGAATCATTCTTCCATTGAAACGCTTCTTTTTATCACTGTCATGAAAAAAGAAGTAAGAGAGAGAAAGCACAAGATCCTTCCTCTTGCCCGTTTTATTCCCTAGAGGGGAACGGCTGAGATAAGTGTCCACCCAGGTTTTGCTGCACTGGTGGGCAGTCAGAACGTTTGCTTTGATCAGCATTACAGAACCAGCACATACACTTCTGTGCAAGGACAGAATCAAAGGAACAAGCAATTTTGCCATGGATTTATTAGGTGAGACACACCCAACTTCACTTAACTATGGACACATATATCCTGATTTTCTGCCTGAGATGGTTAAGCTTTGGGGAGTTCCTGGCTGGAGTGCTAGCAAAAGCTGAAGACTCTTCAGTTTCAAGCCCTTTTGTTTGCAGGGTTTGCGGAAGGCTCTTGGCTGCTGGGCCACCCTCCGCTGCCTCGCACCGCCTCCCTCGCCTTGAACCGTGTCTCCAAGGGAAAGTGACAGGCTGGCAGCAATGGAGGCGATGGCAGTCTGGGTACGAGAAAAGGATGTTTCAGTTTTGGGACGGGACTGCCAATCCCATCATCCCTGTGGGAAAAGATTTCTACTTGTAATCCTTCTTTCCCCCTTGGTGAATGATGCAAACTGCAACATTTCCCTTTCTTTGGCACAGAGACAACATCCCTTCGAGTTTCTGGAGTACCTTCCAAAAGTTGTTTTGTTCTGGGCCAGAAGGGAAACAACCAGGCACCTGGGTTAGAGAAAAGGAAGGTGACAGTGGTGGCAAACTGACCCAAAACGGGCCCGTCACCCTTGCTTACAGAAGGATACGAGCAGGATCTTGCTCACCTTTATATTGGTCGTGGACACTCAAAACTGCGTTTCCAATTCAAATGTCTGTGGCATGCTTACAATTAACTCATACAGTATTTGCAAAAAAATTTATTTAGATAGATACAGATATGTAACATTTACTTGAATAATTATATAGGTAGGTGGGTGAACTGAAGTTCACAGCAGCTGATCTCAGCTCTTATAAAGAAGGGTAGGATATAAAATGAATGCATGAATGGAATGGTATGATGATGATGATGATGATGACAACAACGATGATGGTGACAATCACCACCATATTAATTGTCAAAACCTTACTTAAATTATATTAATATTGTTGTTTTTATTTTAAATTGCTTTTACTTTTATGTATTGTTGTTAGCCGCCCAGAGTAGACCTCAGTCCAGATGGGCAGGGTATAAATTGAATGAAATAACGAACAAACCAACAAACACACACACACACACAAATAATTTCCTGGTGCTTATGGAAGGTTTGTCGCTAACTGCCGTTTATTGACTGGGCGTATGACAAAGCATGCAAGTGACATGACCGAAGACCTCATTGATTAGGCACAATTAGCTGCAGCAAGTTCCACAACCTTGTGAGCACCCCAGTAGGATTCCAGCCAATACTGAAAGAAAAACCAATAACCAGTAAGTCATTACTACTCTAGCTGAAGAAAATGCCAACCCTCATCAAGTAAGATACTTCCAGATTTCAAAATGAAAAATTTCCGGCCCGCTACGGCCGCCAAAAACTCCCAGCTCCTTGATAAAAATTCTAAAAATAATTTCTTGAAGAGTGGTCATATCATGAGTCAGTAATATGCCTTGAAAGAAGAAACACAGCTTTCTGATAAGGGCTAATTAAGGAATTGGTGATTTATAGCCAGCTAATTTCCTCCATGAGAACTTTTGCCAGAGCAGATGATTGAAGTATCAGCAGCTGAAAAGGGAGGGAAGAAACAGTCACCTCTTATCTGATTTAATACTGGCTTGAAATTTTGTTTAGTTCAGCCAGGTTAATAAGGGGCAAAATTTATGAAAATACTTGAAGTTTTGGAACTGGCTTAGAGATGGAAGCTGTGATAAGGTGAACAGAAGATAATCTTTTGAACTTTCTGTTTGAGTAATAGAGCAGTCTAGTGCTTGTTTGTGACAGGAAAATTCAAGAAAAATAAAGGAACTAGTCTTTCGTATAAGATTATGAAGCTGCTTTAAAAGAGAGAGAGACAGACAGACAGACAGACTAGAGAATCTGGGAATCACTATTTCTGTGAGAGCCTTTCCCCTTTTGGATGACTTGGTCCTATTTTGATGCCTAACAGCAATCAAAATGAAGTGAGGAGCTTAAGTGGAAATGTGAAGGACCACATGGTTCAGACAGAAGCTTATTTAAACTTTGAATAGTAGTGTATTTTGTGAAACAAAGAGCAGACAGGATGTGAGAGATTCAGTCTAAGAGAACTGATATGGTGAAGGAAGAGAAAATGATAAATTGATTCAATAAATTATTAGAAATAAATATTAAAGAGTTAATGGAAGATATGGATGCATCAATGGATAAAAAACAGACCTAAATTATCAGAGGATAGTGACACCATTAAAGGCTGAAATGGATAAATTAATATCAGGAATTTAGAGGCACCTGAAAGCATTGGGTTCAAGGACTGAGGAGACAAAAAGAAAATTGAAAAAAAGGCTAAAGCAAATGTTGCAAAACATTATAGGTATGCAAATAAATTGATCTAGATTGATAAGAAACTGGTTGATTTGGAAGATAGAGGATGGATTAAAAATGTAAAGTTGAACGGTTTTCCAGAGGGAGATGCGGAGAATGAAATTAATCTGAGAGACAAGGTCTTCAAATGGATTCAAATAGTGGCTCCAGATGTGGTTTGGGTTCAAGATGATTTAGAGAGATTACATCGTATGGGTTTTAAATGCAGAACCAGAATGCTTCCAAGAGATCTTGTTGTAAGATTTTTTTTGGAAGAAGGAAGAGTTTATGAAAGTGGCAAGAGAAAAGTCTCGACAGTTGGTGGAGACACCTGTTCAACTTTATCAACTCCTCTCCTATCAAACTGTATTCTGAAGACACTCTTTAAACGTGATAACGGCTGTCCTTATGAAGAATAAAATAAGATATAATTGGGGATACCCAGTACAGTATACACGAGAGTGCTATATGTTGGAAGATACTGTAGAATACTTTCATTAGCTCAAGGCCTAGATTTGTTGCACAAATGGGGGGGGGGGAGTCTTGATGACAATTAATGGAAAGAAGAATTTGGGAAAATGGACAGGAAGAAACAAGATCAAGTTACTAGTTCTGAGGGGGAAGACAAAGAGCATGAAGAAGTACTTGGTGGAACTCCACTGGATTGACTTATCAGCCCAACAGGGAAATTATCAACTGGACAATTCGTGAAGAAGAAGAAGAAGAAGAAGAAGAAGAAGAAGAAGAAGAAGAAGAAAGAAGAGGAGGAGGAAGAATAAGAATAAGAATAAGAATAAGAATAAGAATAAGAAGAAGAAGAAGAAGAAGAAGAAGAAGAAGAAGAAGAAGAAGAAGAAGAAGAAGAAGAAGAAGAAGAAGAAGAAGAAGAAGAAGAAGA